ATCTAGCTCCGGAGGAGGTGGACAAGCTGGCGGTGATGGTGTTGACAAGGATTTCGGAGGTGGTGATGGCGGATATGGCGGCAGCTCAGACACAAACGATGATGAATACCCATATATAGGCGGTTTTCATGACAGCTACTATGGTCAGGGTGGATTCTTTGATGGAGGAGATGCGGGCGGGCACTAGGGGCAGTGCCATGAACTAGCTGGGGGGGAGAACTATTCTGGTATGCTCCCATTTCATACTCTTTATTCTTGCTATTTTCTATAAAAAAAATTAAAAAAAAATGGAAGCTTGTTAGGTTGAAAACCCAAAAAGGGCAACTTAAGCAAAATAAAAGCAAAAAAAAAAAGAGAATAGTGAGTTGGGGAGAATTAAAAAGAAAAATGTGGGAAGCTGGGATGAAAACCCAAAAGGGCACCTAGGCAAAATGAGAGAATGAGAGAAAGTATTTCTTTTATATTTGCAGGATCCTAAGGGTACACATAAGGAACAAAAGAAGAGGAACCCAATGATGCTGAAGACCTTTTATTCATGTGTTTTGATCATTGAAACATTCTTTTATGTTAATTTTCAAAAAACACTTGTGAATGGTTGTAATTGCTACAATTGTTGGTTTGGAAACTTCATGGACAGGATTTGTTTTACTCGAGACGAGTAAAAGTTTAAGTGCGGGGGTGTTTGATAGGCACTAGTTGTTAGTGCCTGAGTGTACATTTTTATTATCATTTGCAATATCTATTTACTAGTATTGTGCAAATTTATAGTTGTTAGTTTACATTTGATTGTAATCATATTTCTAGCATTTTATTGTTTGTTGTAAGTTGTAGTTAGTTTGGTTTTAAGTTTAGGATAGGTTTGGAAGCAAAAAGGATGAAGAAACCTGAGTTTTGTGCAAAACCCGGTCGGGTATGGATTTTACCCGGCCGGGTATGAAGTGACAAAGGAAACTGCTGCAAACTAGCAAATACCCGGTCGGGTATTCCATATACCCGGTCGGGTATTCTGTGATTTCGGACCAAAGGACGTGCAGAAGACACAAAAACATGGGAAAATATTTGATTTGGTAAATACCCGGTCGGGTATGTCAAAATACCCGGTCGGGTATCCGGCATTAGGTGTTGAAAACACCTATAAATAGCCCCATTTTCCTTCACATTTCATCATCCCTTCTTCCATTCTCTTTAGCTCAGTTTAGAATAGCATTTCTTTATATTTTTCTAGCTATGTTTAGCCTCCAAATGAGGAGCTAAACTTCCATTCTTGATTTTGCTCTTGAAGCTTGTTGATTATTAAAGTTGTGAGTTATTTTCTTAACTTCTTCTCTTGATTATTAATTCTTCCCTTAATCTCATTCTATATTAATGTTGGAGGGTTGCTAAGTGACGATTAGTTAACGTTCCAACATTAATTATTACTAGAAACGATCAACGAACCGATGGTTAATCGTTGGTGGTTTCACAAGTAAGTAACTTCGATTTATTAATGCACGGTCGTGGTTAATAGACTTAAGAGGGATTAATTTTGTTGGTTAAACCGAAACCGTTGTGTTAAGGTTATCAATCTCAATTGATTTCATCAAGGAGTTAAAAAGATTGAATGCTACTATTATATCGGTATACGGCGTTGTCCAATATTTGATTAATAGTAAGGGTTATTAATGAACGGTCGTTGTTAATAACTACCCTCGATGAATTGGAGATACTCCTCGATTGAGTATTCGAGAGGGGAAAGTAGCAAAGCCAAGTCCCTTTTATTCTTGAATTAAACACATATAGGTTGTTCATCTTAGTTTCTTAATTGAATTAAATCACTCAAAATCAAAACCCCCCTTTTAATTACTAAGCATCATAAAAAGAACAATATTCCTTTCCCTGTGGATACGAACTCTACTACGTTATACTATGTATAAGTGTTTAGTATTGAATTTATTTTGACGCACCGTGACAAAGTGCTCGTCATAAGTATTTTTTTCGAACAGGGTAACCTAGGGTTATGACCTATAATATAATATCACTCTAAGTTGAGGGTCTTAGAAATTGAAACATTGATTATATACAGTGTAGTTGTCATTGTACTTTTCAAATGCTTCAAAGTAGTGACCTCCCCTTCACGAGGGAGGCCACCTCACAGTTTCAAGTAGAAGTTGAGCTTGCTACCAGTACCCGTTACTTCAGGAAGGATCTTTGCCAAATGTGGCTTGAACACTTGTATTACAGTTTCCACCGCTTTTAATGAATATTTTACATTATGTTTGTTTATGGATGAACTACGTGTGAATGATATTCAAGACGCCTAGTATAATATGAATATGTTGGACTGCGGTTCACTAATCGTACTGCACGGCAGGTTGTTGACGTGTTCAGGTAGATTCGGGACTTGACACAAAACATGACAGTAATTATTCCGATTATCTTGAAATATTAGTGATACCCCGCGGAAAGCATCAACTCCATGTTCTTTTTGGATCAAACGTTAATAGCCACCAAAACTGTTGCGTTCATAATAACTTACCTTATATGATTGAGACAAGTCCTGCCGTGTAAAATGACACGAATTACAGAAATTTTCTTCGCCAAATTGCAGCAAGATGTGACGTTCCTTTCAATTTTTGAATTCGATCAGAAATGCAAAAAAGTTATTTTTTAATCAATAAAGGAACACATTCACTTTCAATTTGAATCAAATTTTAAAAGCACCGATTCTGCTTATGGAGCACCGATTCTGAATCAAAAACTACTTCTATGAACATTATGGAGCACCCGGAAGTACTCCTACCTCATAATTTTCACTTTCATGACCACCTTTGATTTATATTTAGAACTCGTTTGGTGGCCATATTTTGCGTTATATCAACCTTATTAATCAATTTTTTCATCAAATACATAATTTTTTTATTTCGTGCCCTGAATTATGTAATAATCGATATACATAAAGATGGAGTTACTTTTTTGGTTAGAAGACTATTTTAGCTATTATATATATATATATATATATATATATATATATATATATATATATATATATAGGTTTTGGTTCAAATAAGAACATGATCTTAGGAGAGAAATGAGAATGAATCTGGACCGTTAGATTTGCTTTAAGTGAAATTCGATGTGCATTAGATGAAATTGTAATGTGCATTAGGTGAAATTTAAATGTGCAGCACAAATGGTACGATACAGTGGTATTATGTGAAACTGAATTGTGCATTAGACGAAATTGAAACGTGCACTAGGTGAAACTGAAATGTGCAGAATAAAAGGTACAGTGTGGTGTTATTTTTGTACTTTTTATTCCGCATATTTCAGTTTCATCTAATGCACACTTGAGTTTAAATTTTTATTCTGCACATTTCAATATATATATAGGGAGCGGTTCCGGTAAGAACGGACTCCCAGGAGAGAAATGAGAATGAATCTGGATCGTTGGATTGTATTATGTGGAACTGAATTGTGCATTTGATGAAACTGAAATATGCATTAGATGATATTGAAATGTGCAGAATGAAAATTTAAACTCAAATGTGCATTAGGTGAAACTGAAATGTGCGGAATAAAAGATAAAAAAATAAATCACATCGTACCTTTTATTCTGCACATTTAAGTTTGACCTAGTGCACATTTCAATTTCATGTAATGCACAATTCAGCTTCACATAATGTCACCGTATTCTACCATTTGTGCTGCACATTTCAATTTCACCTAATGCACATTACAGTCTCATCTAATGCACATTGAATTTCACTTGAAGCAAATCTAACGGTCTAGATTCATTCTCATTTCTCTCCTAAGATCATGTTCTTATTTGAACCAAAACATATATATATATATATATATATATATATATATATCTTTATTTTATTACTCTCTTTGTCCCACTAACAATGGGACAAGAGGGAGTGACACGCAAATCAATAAAAAGTGGTTTATGTGATTGATATTGAATTGATAAAATAAGAATAAAGTAAGAAAGATTTAGAATCACACAAATTTTACTAAATTTGATATGTGACAATTTTAGTGGGACGGATCGAAAAGTTAAAATGGAACAATCTTAGAGGGACGAAGGGAGTAACAAACTATATTTCAAGTATAATTTTTCATAAATCAACCAGTATAAGCCAGGCACTTCAACTTCATAAATTTAAACAGAATGAATTGAGGGTTAACGAAATGGTCTCTTAGCCTACACATTAAATTAAATGTATATCAATTGCATGCAAAACATGAGATGGTAGTAATTATATTCTAGCTATATTATCCAACCTAATTAACCCCGCGGAAAAGATCGATTGCCTTATGAATGACAGGTAGCTAACTAAGCTCCTAATGTTGATAAAAAGGAAGGAGCAGGTCCACTGTGTTGGAGTTAATCTTGTTTAGAATTTCATCATGTTTATTTTAGTTTATTTTGAGTCATAGATGCATATTAGACTAGAGTGTGAGTGCACGACGGGATGAGTCATGTCAAGTAGTGTGCGTCGTGTGACATCATACATGTGTTGTAGCGACACTGATGTGCGTGTGTGCCGTTGGATTAGTGTTAGTCTATTATGCATTTAGTGTTACCTTAGGTTATTAGTGCGTAGTGGCCTAGTGGGTTAGTTACGCATGAATGTATGTGCGTAGTGGATTGTAACCACCGATACGTAGGATGTGTCATTGTGTTGCATTGTTTATAAATTGAAAATGGGTGAATCAAAGCTTTAATGCTTTTGAGCACCACAAAAAAGAAAGCTACGTGAGTACTAAGAGATCTCCGATGATACAATTGCACGGTGCACATATGACATGAGAGAGATAGACATAAATTATTAAATTTTCGACATTTCTCTCTCCTTTCCATGGTCGTATATATTTTTGGTAAGTTTTTCTCCACAATGTCAAGCACAATGTCTAGATGTAGACATTGTGGTTGACATTGTTAAGAAAAACTTACCAAAAACATATAAGACCGTGGAAAGAAGGAGATAGATATTCTATTTGTTATTTTTTAATTGGCTAATTCTTATGCCACGTATGCACAGTTCACATTTTTGCATTGGAGATGCTCTAAAGCCCGCAGTAAGTACATTTGAGCTCCATTATGCTTTGAGCACTAAAGCTACGTACGTGATTTTTCCCTTCCAAAGCATTTTCCTACACACTATGCATGCATATATATGGGGCGGGCGGGTGAGCGAATCATGCTTATACATGAATGTTAACTTTGTTATTGATTTGATGGATCATCATCAATTATATATATGGATGAGTCTTGGATCAATTATTCTTAGGAGGGTGTGCCCTGGGCAAGTGATAATCATCAGTGAAAGCCAGTGATGATGAACTGTGTATTGCTGCTGCTGCTGCAGCATGGCTATCATCATCCGTATGAGCGGTAATAATGGGAGGAGTTGCATTATTCCTCCTCCTCCGTTTCTTTCTTCCTCTTCCCCTCCCCCTTATCTTCCTTCCTTCCATTTTCGCCCTCCGGTACTCCTCGCCGCTGCCCTTCACCAACGCCTGCATGCATGCATGCAATTCCATTCATCATTCATATCATATCCTCACTCACCTTAAGTTAGTTATATATATGTATGTATACTGTACAGACTATATTATAGAAATCGCTTAATATAGCACCAAAGTATACACACATTCAAATTCTCAGATATGATCAATAATTCAAGTATGTTTCCTTTCATAAATAAACTTGGTATCAGTCAACATTTCATATTTGTCACGGGGGGTTTGGAATATCAGGCATTAAACTTGATTTGTTATGTACTACCATTTTCAAGTATGTTTTATCAATGTGTTATGTACTTATATATGTGCATGATTAGTTATAACATAAGTGGAATTATGCATTTTTAATTAAAATCACGAGAGACTAATGCGCCATATTTGATACCGGGTTTGGAATATCGGGCATTAAACTTGGTAATGTGAAACAACTTTGGAATGAAATTAAAGTGAGATCTGAGTACTACTGTTATATCAAACAGCAACAAAAGATAATTATGTGCATATATATAATACTTGTATACCTTGTGTTCTAGGAGGATAGGAGTGCCCCCTCTTCTCATCGTAAACCCATTATGATCATCCTTGACCAATTCCGAACGGCCCATTTTTGTACCTGTAAAGTTTAAGATGGTGAGAAGCTAAGGAGGCCGGAAGCTAAGGGCATGATATGTTTTAATGTGTTATCATTTACTCTTATATAATAATAATGATAATAATAATGTGTATATATAAGACTAGATGATCTACCTTGGTTAGTAGAAGCAAGAGACATGGATATGAAGACGACAAATAAAAACACAAAGGCGGAAGACTTAGAGGGCACCATTTTGGGCTAGCTTAATTTCTTTTGTGTGATGAAATTTATAGAAGCAATGGATCTAATCCCAAGTGAAAGCTAGCTAGGTTTGAGTGCTTTGTTTATTTATTAATTTAACATTTAGCTACATACGAAGTATATACGTACCTACTTTGGGAGTACATGACAGACGGTTGAGGGGCAATTCAAGTTCCGATATTCAAAAATGTGTGTGCCTGTGGCGTAGAAGAGAAGGTAGGCCGGCATGTTTCTTCCGTGTCTGCTGCCTTGCACCATATGCATGTAAGTTTGTAGCCAGGCCAAGAATATATATTGTTTATTTGTTCCAGGAGCTGAGAGTGCGTGGGATGATGAACATAATATTAAATGTGACAATCAAACTATATACGTACTGCGTATGTACGTATATACTATACATGACTTATGAGTTGTTGGTGATTTTAGTATCACCGGGTTCATTTTAGTGTAATGGAATTTACAGATTACCAATGGAGTTCAAGTTTAATTTTAGACAAGTTAGGAGGTGCGGAGCGCACACTTGTACGAAATTAAATTTAAACTTGGTTCGATTAAATGGCGGGGGTCAAGGGGGCTGCGCCCCCTTGCGGGGTCCAAGGGGCAGCGCCCCTGGCGGGGGTCTCGTAACCGATTGGCCTTATCTCTTTGGTAATCAGAAGAATTCGAGTTCTACTAAAACTGCTAGTTCGTGGTCTATATATTGGTGCCTCAGTTTTAGACTGTCTCTCAGAGTGATTATCCCCATAATCTAAATTTCGTGTAACCCAGGCATAGGGTCGAAATATTAGATTCGGAAAGTGATCACACGATACTCTGAGAAATCCGCCAGATTTTCTAAAACAGTTTCCCAACTCCCCAGTCATAACAATCGAATCTAATATTTTTTTTCGTTTCGGAAAATCATGGCTGAATCTGTAAAGGAGATGACTTCCAAATTCGACAAGTTGGAGAAATTCCAAGGAGTTGATTTCCGTCGCTGGAAAAAGAAGATGCACTTTCTGTTGACCACACTGAAGGTGGTTTACGTTCTGAGTACGCCTATGCCAGCGTATCACGAAGATTAAACTATTGAGCAGTCAAGGCGTCGTTCCAAGTGGGAAAACGATGACTACATCTGCAGGGGCCATATTCTAAACGGTATGTCTGATACTTTATTTGATATTTACCAAAACGTGGAGAGTGCGAAGGAATTGTGGAATTCACTTGAGTCCAAGTATATGGCTGAGGATGCTTCTAGTAAGAAGTTCCTTGTTAGTGATTTTTATCACTATAAGATGATGGACTCAAGGCCTGTTATGGAACAATACAATGAAATTCTTCGCATTCTGGGCCAACTCACTCAACATAATATGAAGATGGATGAGTGCGTCGCAGTAGCGATGATAATTGAAAAATTACCACCAACATGGAAGGATTACAAGCGTGATCTGAAACATGGGAATGAAGAGTTGTCTCTGTTACAACTCGGTAGTCACATACAGATTGAGGAATCACTCCGCATTCAAGAAGGTGACAAAAATAAGGCAAAGCCTGATGTTGGACAGCCTACTGTCCACATGGTTGAAGTAAACAAAAACAATCAAAATCACAAGGGAAAAGGCATCAAACGCAAGAATGATAGCCGAGACAAACCAAATAAAAATCCTAAGGATCTGGTTTGTTGGAGATGTCAAAAGACGGGTCATGTTAAGCGTGATTGTCGGGTGAATCTCAATAAGAACAATGCTGCAAATAGTGGTGGAGGAAACAGTGGTGGTGGAAACAGTGGGCCTAAGGACTCTACTGCATCTAGAGGAGGTCAGAATCTTTCTAACCCTCTTTATAATTCTACTCAGAATTATTGTTCACTAATTCCTGGTTCTTTTTATGTACAGGATGATGACCGTACATGGTGGGTTGACTCGGGTGCCACAAGTCATATGTGTAAAGATCGTCGATGGTTCGAGAAATTGACACCAGTTGATGATGGTTCCACGGTGATGATGGGTGATAAGTCGAGTCAACCAATTTGTGGCTTTGGAGTTGTTAGTCTTACGTTTACTTCGGGAAAAACAATAAAGTTGTCTGATGTTTTATTTGTTCCTAGGCTTAGTAAGAACCTTGTTAGTGGTGGTTGTTTAAATTCTGATGGCTTTAAGCAAGTCTTTGAATCGGATAAATTTATTTTATCTCGATTTGGCACGTTTGTTGGTTTTGGTTATTTTACTAATCGTATGTTTTGTTTGAATTTGGTTGATACTTTATCTTCTGTTGGAAATTCTGTGTTTGTATCATCTGCATCATTTACTTCTTCAATTGATAATGCCATGCTATGGCATGCTCGTTTAGGTCACGTTAATTTTAGAAGAATGCACGAAATGTCAAAAGATGGATCAATTCCTGCCTTTGACATCAATACAGAAAAATGTAAAACTTGCATGTTGACCAAAATCACAAGACAACCTTTTCAAAATATTAATCGAAATTCTGGAATTTTGGAATTGATTCATAGTGATCTTTGTGATTTTCATTCAACTCCCTCACTTGGCAACAAAAATTATGTCGTAACTTTTATTGATGATTCAACTCGGTTTTGCTATGTGTATTTGTTGCATTCTAAGGATGAAGCCTTACAAAAATTCAAAATATACAAAACAGAGGTGGAATTGCAATTAAGCAATCCGGTTAAATGTCTTAGAACTGATCGGGGAGGGGAATATATGGATACCCAATATTTCCAATCAGTTGGTATCATCCATGAGACCACGGAACCATATACACCACAACAGAATGGTGTTGCCGAAAGGAAAAATCGAGTTTTAAAAGAAATGGTCAACTCGATGTTGTCTTACTCAGGCTTGAGTAAGGGTTTTTGGGGGGAGGCAATGCTTACCGCATGTTATGTCTTGAATAGGGTTCCAAATAAAAGGAACAAGAAAACCCCATATGAATTATGGTTCAAAAAGTCTCCAAATTTGAGTTACCTCAGAATTTGGGGCTGTCGGGCAGTTGTCAAACTAACCAATCCCAAAATAAATACTTTGGGAGAAAGGGGAATTGACTGCATTTTCATAGGATATGCTGAAAATTCCAAGGCATATAGGTTCTATGTTATAGATCCTAATAATTCGGTTTCTGTACATACCGTGATTGAGTCGCGAGATGCGATTTTTGATGAAATGCGTTTTTCATCAATCCCAAGGCCTAAGGATCTGATTTCTAACAGTAATGAAGGACAAATTTCAGAAACTTTAGAAGGTATATCAGATCCGGAACCCCAAGAGGTCAGGAGGAGCAAACGGGCTCGAATTGCTAAAAATTTTGGCTCCGATTTCCAACTGTATTTGGTGGAAGGATCAAGGGATGAGGTTGGATTTCAATACTCGTATTGTTACAGTATTGAAGGAGATCCAAAGACCTTTAAAGAGGCCATGGAATCCCGAGATGTGACTTTTTGGAAAGAGGCAATTGATGATGAATTATCATCAATTTTAGAAAACAATACATGGGTGCTATGTGATTTGCCACCAGGTTCTAAACCTCTGGGTTGCAAATGGATCTTCAAAAAGAAGATGAAGGTAGATGGAACTATAGATAAGTTCAAAGCACGTTTGGTAATACAAGGGTTTAAACAAAAACCAGGTATTGATTATTTTGACACATATGCACCAGTGGCTCGGATATCTACCATTAGATTGTTGGTTGCTTTGGCAGCCATCCACAATCTGGTTGTCCATCAAATGGATGTCAAAACAGCCTTCTTAAATGGAGAGCTTGATGAGGAAATTTACATGAACCAACCAGAAGGTTTTGTTATGCCCGGTAATGAGCATAAAGTGTGTAAACTTGTCAAATCCTTGTATGGTCTGAAACAAGCACCAAAACAATGGCATCAAAAGTTTGATGAAGTTATTTTATCAAGTGGTTTTAAGCTAAACCAATCTGATAAATGTGTTTACAGTCGGTTTGATTCAACCGGGTGTGGTGTGATAATTTGCCTATATGTTGATGACATGCTGATTTTTGGCACTGATCAACTTCAAGTTGATGAAACGAAAAGTTTATTGTCATCAAGGTTTTCCATGAAAGATATGGGGGAGGCTGATGTAATCCTTGGGATTAGGATTAAGCGGTTGAACAAAGGAATTGCTATGACGCAAGCACACTATGTTGAGAAAATTCTCAAGAAATTTAATTATAGTGAATGTTCTCCCGTGAGTACTCCCATGGACCCTAGTGTCAAATTAATGCCAAACAAAGGCAAGGCAATATCACAATTAGAATACTCTCAAGCTATAGGATGCTTGATGTATGCCATGACAAGCACTCGTCCGGATATCGCCTACGCGGTTGGGAGGTTGAGTCGGTATACTAGCAATCCTAGTACTCAACATTGGCAAGCAATTCAGAGAGTATTCAAATACTTAAAAGGAACCATGGATTATGGAATATGTTATCTTGGATATCCCTCGGTTCTAGAAGGATATACTGATGCAAGCTGGATAAATCACCTAGAAGATCATTCTTCTACAAGTGGTTGGGTATTCTTGCTTGGGGGAGGTGCCATTTCTTGGGCCTCTAAGAAGCAAACTTGCATTACAAATTCAACAATGGAGTCTGAATTTGTTGCTTTAGTTGCTGCCGGTAAAGAGGCAGAATGGCTAAGGGATTTGGTTTTTGAGATTCCATTATGGACAAAGCCAATTGCACCCATTTCTATTCGTTGTGATAGTGCTGCCACGTTGGCTAAGGCCTATAGCCAAGTGTATAATGGGAAGTCTAGACACTTAGGTGTTAGACACAGTATGATTAGGGACTTAATCATGAAGGGTGTAATTTCTGTTGAGTATGTGAAATCACAACAGAATTTGGCGGATCATTTAACTAAAGGTCTGGCCAGGGACTTAGTGCACAAGTCTGCGATTGGGATGGGTTTAAAGTCCATTTAATTCCATAATGATGAGACACCCAATTCCCCTCTAATATAATATTAGAGGTTGAATTCAATGAGGAAAGCTCATACTTAAGGAATGGAACACATGCATTTTGTCATCCCAGGTTAGTGTGTTCGGACCTGTAGTCAAAGGGTTGAATATATATTCTTAATAATTCCTTTGTTAAAATGTAAGCAGGTACATGATTAAAGGAATTACCTATATGATCGTGAAGTGTAGCCGCACTTCGAAAAGTTGGGACTTGACTTTTATACGATTATGAATGGATTGGGACACTCGGCTTAATAATAGTGTCAAAGTTTTGAACTAGTTGTTTATTTGAACTTATGTGTATGTTATCTTCATGTATTCAAATGGGTTGAAGGGTTCAATTCTTAGAACACCCTGATTCTCGAGTATTTGGAATGTGTAATGTGCTAATGTGAAAATTCAATCATTTCGATATTTTCATGTATGCATAAGTTTGGTTGTCTCTTATTCTTGTTTATGTAGATTCATGGTTACACTAAAATGGGGGAGGATTGTTGGTGATTTTAGTATCACCAGGTTCATTTTAGTGTAATGGAATTTACAGATTACCAATGGAGTTCAAGTTTAATTTTAGACAAGTTAGGAGGTGCGGAGCGCACACTTGTACGAAATTAAATTTAAACTTGGTTCGATTAAATGGCGGGGGTCAAGGGGGCTGCGCCCCCTTGCGGGGTCCAAGGGGCAGCGCCCCTGGCGGGGTCCAAGGGGCAGCACCCCTGGCGGGGGTCTCGTAACCGATTGGCCTTATCTCTTTGGTAATCAGAAGAATTCGAGTTCTACTAAAACTGCTAGTTCGTGGTCTATATATTGGTGCCTCAGTTTTAGACTGTCTCTCAGAGTGATTATCCCCATAATCTAAATTTCGTGTAACCCAGGCATAGGGTCGAAATATTAGATTCGGAAAGTGATCACACGATACTCTGAGAAATCCGCCAGATTTTCTAAAACAGTTTCCCAACTCCCCAGTCATAACATGAGTATATATACAAAGAGACATGCATACACTGGTAGATCCATAACCATTTTCAAAGGAGGTGCGGATGAACTTGTATCCACTCTAATCCGGTTGTACTTTATATTGAAGAATTTGATTTATAATACGATTAAAATTAGGATGCTTCTACGGTGCACTCCTTAATTTTGTGTGTTTTGGTACACATCCTTTTTAACCACCCATCATCTTTTTTAACCACTCAACCCATTATATCTTAATCTTACATCACCCAATATCCTCATTAACTAAACATAATAATTTGCCATTTTTGCATTTGGGTCCTTCATCGGATTAGAAAAAAAGGTTAAACTGAACAAAATCGTCCAAGGAGATTTATTTAAATAGGAATAAATAAATATTTAATTGTCAAAGTATGTGCAAAGTTTAAAAGTACTCTAAATAGGAATTATTATTTGTAGTTGGACAGGAGTACGAAAGTACCCCTTGAAGCTTGACAAAACTTAAGGCAGCCGAACATCGTTGTTGACCGTTGGCAGCCGACGCTACACATCTGGCTGCCGCCTCCGTACGTCTTGTCAGATCTGGGCGTCACCGACATTGCACATCGTGCCATGAACCACCACCGTACATCTGACCAGATATGGCCACGTCGGCCGCCGGCGCTAAAGATCCGGCCTCTACCGCTAAAGATCTGGCCTACAGTGACGCCGACGCCGCGGATCTGTATCACCGGCATAGGGAATAGGGGGCAATTGCTAATAGGTTTAAATATGATTTGAGTCCCTGCAAAATATATTTTTTATTTTTTTCATCCTTGTATTATGCATTATTTGGTTTTTAGTATATAACTAAAAAAATGCATCCCTATAATTAATTTTTTTGAGGAAAATATGAGAGTTAAAAAAATTAAAACTAATTACTCACATTTTTAAAATACGTATTAAACTCCATTATTATCATCAGCGGTAGACTAAAAGAAAAACTAACATACATTTTAGAAATAAAAAAAAAATTGCAGGGATACTATATTTGCAGAGACTAAAAAACATTTAAACCTTATTTATATTAGGAAGGACAAATATGGTATAAAAGTCATATTTAAAAAATAAAAATAAACATAGTCCTATTTAGAAATTTAAGAAACAATTCAATCATATTTAGGCTAATAACTCAATTCTCACTACAAGTCGTTAATCATATTTAGTAGCACAATACTAAAATGTGATTGGATAAGAAAATGTGTGTACCCGTGCACTCAAAATTTAGGAGTGCACCGTAGAATTTTCCTTAAAATTAAGGGGTTATGTCAAAACTATTTCTAATAAATTCTAAGGTGGATTGAGTCTTGTTATCACGAAGAGTTCTAGGGTTGCCGACTCAGGCGACGCCTAGCTTTTTGTCCGGCGGTGCTTCGCTCAGGCGAGTACGGCGTCGAGAGGGTCTTTGTTATTGGCTGCATGAGGAGATCACATGGAGGATTTTGGTAGGGAAGAGTCAATGAGCATCTTATCGTGGAATTGTAGAGGACTGTACAAGAAGATGGCGATTGGGGCAAAGGAAGAAGAACTGGATCTAGATGAAGCTGATGTTGAAGGTGTGGCGGAAGAGCGGCGGGCACGTCCCCCTCCTGAGCCGCCGCCATGGAGTGCAAACAAATCTAGGGTTTGGAAGAAGATGGGTGAACTCTATTTTAGTTGCGTTTTATTCAGTTTGTGTTTTCCTATCGAATTGCATGTTAATTTGGATATGTTCTTTTTTCCTAGCTAGCTGAGAAATTCTTAAATTTAGGTTAGGTGATGAGAAGTCTGGTTTGCCAGTCATTGGCTCAGTTATGCCCATTACAGGATCAGCGAATGTTATTGCTTCTACAGAGGTGATATATTCTCAGTCTGGCTAGAGAATGGACGGCAGACATAAGGCTTTTTATCATTTTGTTTACTCCTTTTTCCTTGATTGTATTATCAGCCATGTGATAAACGTTATTTTGATTTAATATATTAGTTGGATTTGATGATAAAAAATTGTAAGGTGATATTTTTTATGTTTCCAAAAATGAGATTAAAAAGAGATTGAGAGACTATTATACCCTTATACTAATATAGATAGATTCACTCATTTGTGCTACAATAATGCTAGGGGTGTCTTGAGAATTTTGGAGGTCCCGGATAAAAAAAATATATCATATTCAAATCATAAAAAATCATATGAAAAAAGCATATTCAAATTGCAGATATAACGTGAACGTCCAAAGGAAAAATTCATGAAAGAGAATTTCACTAGTTTTTTTACACTGGAAGGCAAACCATCAAAATCAGTGGGGCAGAAACCGGGGGGTCAGCAGCCAAAATTTTATTAATCATAGAGTACAAATGGAGAAGGGGACCAAATCAAAACTCCTCCATAAGACAAAATCAACAGACAATATAAGGGATACCCAAGACATCCATCTTAATAGCCCCATCCAGCTCTTTGGGTACCATCTGACCCATCCTCCAAATAAAAGGTCTTAAAAGCCCAAGTTTAGCAACCACCTTTGCTGCCTTATTAATCTGATCCGAGATATAATTCAGAGACAAGTCCAATTGACTGTGGCCCAATTTCAAACCACCTGAACCCATCAAATGCACAAAGGAAACATCCGCCTCCACATTAGGAAATCCAAACCCTTCTGACCATCGAATCGCCTGAACGAAGACTTCGTCTTCTCCAACGCTCGATCCACTCAGAGGGAAACCCTCCGCTGCCACTAACGCACCCGCATGGTCTCTCAACAGAAAGTCGGCAGCTGATTTCCCAAAATTTTTGAAGATTACCCAGTTTAGCTTCACGTGCGGGCTCCTCGGCTTCATCCATCAAAGAATCTAGGGTTTTCTTAGCTTAAACGAAACAGGTAAAAAGCCAACCTCCTTGAGTTTTTATGTACCTTTAATCTTATCATTCGCCCAACACCATGCTAACATATAGTTGATAATCTTTTTAATTACCACATCCTTATCCGTCGTTGAACCATTTATCATGGAGTCCCAGTACTCTTTCCAGATATGCCATGCTATCACACCAGGTAAAATTAAAGTATATACTTTATCCACTGTTTTACCTTTGGTTGATATCCACCATGTCATTATCTCTCCTTTGATGTTTGTTACCTTGCCGTTTAATGCCAACAACGAATTAGCAAAAAAGCTCCGAATAGAGACTGCCAGGGGACACTGCAGCAAAAATGTGGTCCTGGGAGATGCATTCCTTTTTTACAAAAAGGGCACATAGTTGGGTAAACTGCAGAAAATGCCACCAACCTTTCCGGACAGGGGAGCCCTTTATTCCACAGTCTCCACAGGAAGACACTGATCTTGGGCACCTGCTTCGGATGCCAGATAAGATCATTAGACAAGGCCCTCCCCCTTTGAGGCCTTAGAGCTTGATAAGTTGATTTTGATGCAAAAATGTCTTCTTTTGTGTGTTTCCATGTTATATTATGTGAATCCCTAGTCACCATATCCTCTGCCTTCTCATGAATGAGGCTGATTCTCCTACTTTAGACTCCCCCAGAACTCATTTGCCATATTTGCTCCTTACCAGATCAGTCCAAATCGAATCACCCTTATGATATTCCCACGGTCCAAATTTGGATAGGAAATCTTAATTAGCTAAGTACCTATCAAGCTTCTCCCAAATTCTGCCAAGTGTAAGTAGATCCAATTGTAGGTAGCTAAACCAATTCACACCTATCAATACAATCTTGAAAGTTGACGTGCACTTGCCGTGAGGTGCACTCAAAATAAATACAATACAACGAATATACGTAGTATAACGAAGTAAGGTTCGTATCCACAGGGAAAGGAATACTTTTCTTTTATATAAATAGTAACAAGGGGGGTTTAGATTTGTTTGGTTTAAAAACACTAAGATAAACAACCTATATGAGTTTAATTCAATGAGATGAGGACTTGGTTTTGCTTTTATCCACTTAATGAAATGTTCGTCGATCCCGGTTATATCTTTAACTATCTTCCTCTCGAATACTCAATCGAGGAGTATATCCAGTTCATCGAGGGTAGTTATTAATAACGAGATGCGTTCATTAATAAAACTTACTATCGAGTCAATATAGAACAAGCGTCGTATATTAACTTGATAGTAGCAATAAACTTAAGATGAAAACGATTGAGATTGATAACCTCAACACAAGCGGTTTATTGGTTTAATCAATATAATTAATTCCCCTTGGCATATTAACCATGAAATGCATGCATTAATATTCCAAGTTTACTACCTTTGAAAGAACCGGATTAATAACAAGCGTATTAACCGATCGATTCTAGTAATAATTAATATGAGAAACAATACGAGTTGATACTTTAAGTAATGTTTAAGATATTAACATGAAATATGAATGTGATTTAATTAATACTCAAGGAAGAATATTAAAGAATATGAATCCTACTAAGATTAATATCAAGATGTTAACTAATTGTCATCTTAGTAACACTCCCCAATATTAACATAGAGGAAGAAATAGATATTACTATAACCAATGTCAAGATGTTAACTAATTGTCATCTTAGTAACACTCCCCAACTTTGATATAGAAATAGTATTTGAAAGGAAGAATTAATATTCAAGGAAGAAGATTAAAGAAAATAACTCACAACTTACAAATTCATTAAGCTTCAAAGTAGCAAAACCAAGATGGAAGAGTTTAGCTCCTCATTTGGAGACTAAACATGATGAAAAATATAAAGAAAGAACTATTCTATACTGAGCTTAGATGTACAAAGGAATTGGATATCTTTTTGTGAAGGAAAGGAGGTGTATTTATAGGCTTTTGGGATGGGATTCGGGTACTCGATCGGGTATATACATGGTACCCGATCGAGTACGTGTATAACACTCGATCCGAGGTATACTCGACCGGTTTCAAGCTATTTTCCATAAGTATACCCGATCGAGTATATATTAATACCCGGTCGAGTATGCTTAGAAAATGGTATTCGGACCATACTCGACCGATCTTCATTTGAAACTCAAAGGCATACCCGATCGGGTATGTCGGTCTACCCGATCGGGTATGTCGGTCTACCCGATCGGGTATAGACATAAAATCGTGGCTGAAATCTTCCTGGCATGTTCCCTTGTCTTCGGATCTGATCCGATTTGAAGTTCCAACCTAATACCCAATCGAGTATAGTTAATACTCGACCGAGTATAGACCAAAATTCAGGATCTTCTTTTGTCTTTGAACTTTTGCACCTTCTTTCCACTTTTTGGGTTCACCAACTGTACTTCGAGTGATCAGTACCTGTTTGAGCTCAGAATATATCTAATCTAACCTATTTACAAGAATTTAACAAACTAATCTATTATACCAAAAGTGTGTAATTTCCATAGTAAAGATCAAGCAAAACTAATTAAAAACACAAACATAAGTATGGAAATTACAAACGTATCAAAAGTCTAACATAGCATTTAGAGAAGGGCTGGAAGGGCCTTTATACTCAACAATCGAAGAACAACGTTAAAATCACCCCCTCAAATCCATCCCATAATCTGGCCCTATCTGCTCTAGTATGGAGTCCATAAACCGGGGAAAAAGTGAAAACGTAGTTCATAGGGATAAATTTGACCATAACCAACCAGAACTCATCCCTTTCCCGAATATCAGTTACCTCAAAGGAGCTGGTGTTCCACATCAACCAAATTTTATTATTTGCCGACATATACAAATCCGAAAAAACAAGCTAAATTTAAAGAGATCTCCTCTACTTTGATTCACAATCGGTTCA